TTGTATGGAAATATTCCAGTGGCTTCAAAAGCCGACTGTAAATTTTTCACAGACATAGCTTTTGGGTAAATTTCGCTGAGTATCTTACCAAACCGAGTTCTTGTTATTTTTCTATCAGGAAAAGTTGTCCAATACAGTAATACTTCTTCGTCCCAATAATGTTCAAAGCTGCGAAAAACGCATTTATCAAGTGGTTGTAACTCGTGTGTGGTGTTGCTAGGCAGACACAAAAGAGTTATTCCCAATGCATCTGCGGTTTCAAAAACAGAAATATCCAGGTGAGAGGCTGCTCCATCCATTATCAGCAAAACGTCTCCTTCGGGCTTAAATTTAGCGAAGTGCTGTAGCCACTTACAAAAAACACTTGTGGTCATGCTCCCCTTAGGTGTCATTTCAATAACAGTCCCAGGAGCCATATTTTCTTTCCATTCGTCCTTGCACCTTTTTCCTTTAAATAAGACCATTGGGGGTATGGCTTGACCAACTGCGCTGCCACAAGCGACCACAGTCACGTTTTCGGCATGCTCCGTTGCAATTATGTGAACCCTCCTTTCACCTTTTCTGGCAAGGACCTTTTGCTGATGGTGTAGGGTCAATCTGCAACCCTTTTCATCCATGTTAAATATCAAGTGCGGCTTGTCAATAAAGTTTTTTTCAGTCATTATCTGTTTTAGTTTAGTAAAATAGTCATTTACAATGGTTTTGTTCATTTTTTGGGCCCTAGCGGGATTAAGAAGCTGAGCTTTACGCTCGGTGATTTCTGGGTGCCTGGCAAAAAATAATTTTATCCATCTTCTGCCAGCCATTTCCTTTTCTCGATTAAAACAGTGTCTAATATTTCTAGTGTTTGCAAATGTATACACCGACTTTCGAATGATTTTGTTTGTCAAAGGTACTCCGATATTGCCTAACCTTATAATACGTTGACACAACTCATTTTCTTGTTCTACGGTTAGTATTGAGGATCTCCCCAATTTCTTAACGAAACTTCCAGTTGTGACATGGTTTCGAAGGGTTCGTCTCGGAATATCATAGCGCTTAGCCGCTGTCAGGACAGGCATTCCCTGATTTATACTCGCAAGAGCTCTCCTCAACTGCTGCTCGGACCATTTTGCTCTTTGTGTGGGTGGCATGTTCTGAGAATAGAGAAGAAAATAGGTAAGAACCTAATAAGGCCACATAGTTCCTAACAAGGCCACTCAGGTGGCTTTATTAGGAACGCATAACCTTAAAACAACAAACCCTCGTAACTCCTTTAAAGTTGAAAATAACAAAAAACCCAAATTACTACCATTAAGCTAACTTACCTTGGTAACTCCTTATGTAAAAAGAAAAGTTATAAAAAACAATTTCAATAAAAAATCACAAACAACATATACAAGAATCCCGTTAACGAAAACGGCTACAAACCACGATGTGCTGTAACTCCATCTGTTGGCGATTTTTTGAAATCACCCATAGACTAAAGTTATAGAGCGCATGGGTATATATTATTGTTAGTTACAATTTTTACGTTAGGTTTGTTTTCTGTCGCTAGGGGGCGTATGGCCTTATAGTAGCACTGGCCTTAATTGGGTAAAGTACCTTATACTAATATATAAAATCCTTAAGTGAGTGACATACTGATTAATCACGATCCTGCTCAAACCACTCAACGTAAGAAGCTCTATTTTGGTATACAGGTTGATTCTAGGGTGTAGAGGTTCGATAAGAAGGGATTTTTCGAAATTCCAGTTCCAAGAAGGTGAAACCACCCCTGAAATATTACAATATTTTTTATTTAAAAAACGGTCAAGTTTCCGAAAAAACGCTTAAACACGTATATTTTATTTTGTTTTTTGACATATTTTAAGATTTTTTAAAAATGTATACAGGGTGTTTCGAAAAATCTGGTCATTGATTAATCACGATCCTGCTTAAAGCGCTTGACGTAAAAAGCTGATTTTTGGAAAACAGATTGACTTTAGGGTGTAGAGGTTCGACAAGAAGGGATTTTTCGAAACTCGAATTCTAAGGGGGTGAAACCATTCCTCATATATTAAAATATTTTTTATTTAAAAACCGGTGAGTTTTTCGGAAAAACTCTTAAACACGTATATTTTATTTTGTTGTTTTACATATTTTAAGATTTTTTATAAATTTATACAGGGTGTTTCATAAAATATGACCATTGAGTAATCACGATTCTGCTTAATCTGCTTGACGTTTAAAGCTGATTTGTGGCAAACGGATTGACTGTGGGGTGTAGAGGTTAGATAAGGAGGGGTTTCTCGAATCTCAAATTCCAAGAGGATGAAAACGCCCCTAATATATTACAATATTTGTTATTTAAAAAACGGTTAGTCTTTCGGAAAAACGCTTGGACAAGCATAATTTATTTGGTTTTTTTACATATTTTGAAATTTTTTAAAAAATCATACAGGGTGTTCCAAGAAGTTGGGTAATTTCTTAACCACGATTCTGCTTAAACTGCTTGACGTAAAAAGCTTATTTTTGGCAAACGGATTTTTCGAAAGTCAAATTCCAACGAGATGAAACTACCCCTCAAATATTACCAAGTTATATAATAATATCGCCATATTGTTTTTTCTCATGCTGACATAAATGTGAGAAAATTTTATCCAGTTTGTATGTTAATGGAAATTATTGCTTTGCTTTATCATCACCATTACAAATGATTAATTCGACGCGAACGAAGTCGCTGGTACACGCTAGTATCTTCATAATATAGCAACAGTAGTAGTAGATTAAACTTACAAGAAAACCCAGAAAAGAGCCAGCGGTTCTCAAAATTTAAGCGAAATTTCATTTTTTTTTAAATCTTCAAAGTAAAATATCGGTAATTTTGGACTTATTTGAAAAACGGTAAAGAGAAAACATTTTTTTATCGAAGTTAGCACAAGTAAGTTCACATTTTAATGCCAAAGCGAATGGTGATATTGTAAAATTCCGTAACAGCTTTGAAAGGGTACTTTCCATTGGGGTGGCTACTTATTTTATTCTTATATAGATACAGTAATTTCAACAAATGAAAATTAAAGCTAGGATTTTTTTTATGTAAAAAAGTGCTCTTAAAGGTTCCGATGCTAATTCTGCTGTTCCGTTGCGTTTAAAGGTTCCGATGCATCTTTTTGAGTATTAGCCGTAAGAGACTATTATTAAGTAAGTTCAAAATATCCTAGTTATTTTACTTTGAAAATTAAAAAATAAAGAGAGATATTATTTTTAACTGAAAATTAAAAGAATTTCCAATTTTTTTTAGCCGACCATACCAATAGGTATGGTAGGCTATTAAGATCGGCAAAAAAAAGTTTTTTTAATTTCACTCAAAATGAGTTATTTGGGTCATAAATTACCTAAATACAAAATATTTTTATGGTGTCTGTCTGTCCGTCCGCCTGTCCGTCTGTCTGTAACACGATAACTCAAAAACTGCTAAACCGATTTTAACCAAATTTGGCACAAAAGTACTGTGGCACCCGAGAATCTGGTCATTAGTTTTTGGTGGGGGTGGGGGGTGGTAATGGGGTTTGGGAGGGGGTTAAAAATTTAAAAAAATTGTAACTCCAAAATTACAGTAGCTAGCGAAACGTGGTTTTCAATTTAAGATTAGGAATAATATTTGCAATAAAATTTGTAATAATACCAAAATCAGTCAAAGTCGCAGTTTTTGAGATATTCCGTGTTTCCATAGTCCGTTTTTGAGAAAATCCCTGTGGATAACTCCAAACTCCCATCGGACGCGACCCCAGGTGGCGGATAGGGGAAATAACCGCGGACAAAAATTGGAAAAATTCTTTTACTTTGAAACTAAAAGCACTGCCTACCAACTTTTTATTAACATATTTTAGTATGGGCGACTATACGTGCCTCCCGGCGCTAATTTTTTTGAAAAATGTCAAATTTTCAAAATGTGTTTTTTTGCGAAAAAAACTCATAGAAGTGTTTCTGTGTCAAAATATACCTCCCCTAAAACCATCTGCACTTATTTAAGACCCACCCTGTATAATATAGATACGTTACGTGCAGTAAACCAATCAATTATGAATTTCACCTAGAATTAATTAATTATACATATATTTTCTCTTGCATTTTCGCTTTTATTTCCTTGTCAAAAATAATTAGTGTACGTCAGTTTGACTTTTAATGTTTCAGTAACGTATCTGGTAAATTTGTTATTAAATAATTATTATTATAAATTATCTATTTTTATTAGAAATATATTATTATTTATTATTATTATACCAATAACATTTATTGACAGCGTAAAACAAAACCAATAAATTCAGGGGTTTACCTAATATTAGATATATTGTTACACGTTCTAATAAAAATAGAACGGCACGGATTAACCGGAATAATTATTAATCTTTTTATTCAAAGACAGGTAATGTGCGTCAAAATATTCCTTGGTCCGTGAGACCAACTTTTCATGAACTTTTTAATATATTCAACCATTGCTGAATGACCTATATTATCAGTTCTATTATTATTAATTTAAGAATAAATAATACTTAGAGATATATTGATATATAGAGAGATCATAGAACAATTACGTATTATGTTTACATAAAAAAGATTGTGTTTTTTAAAGAGAGCTGGTTTTATATTTGCAGAAACTACATATAAACATAATTAATAAAATATACGTTTTAAACCAAACCATATCAACCGGAATAATTATTTTTTTTTTTCCAAAGACAGGTAAGTTGCGTCAAAATCTTCCTTGGTTCGTTAGACAGATTTTCCACGAACTTTTTTATATTATTCAACCATTGCTGAATGAACTATATTATCAGTTCTATTATTATGAATTTCATATTTATTTTTAGATTATGGGAAAAACCACAACCATATGATAATATTTCAATAATTTCCAAGTATTTTGATCAATACAATAGGAAACATTTTTTTCACAGAAAGTTATAATATAGCGTACAAGCTTAACGTATGCTGGCTGCCGTTTCGTTATTTAATTTTATTTTTATTGTTGTTTTCAGTGAGCCGGCTACACTGTGAATCGGAATCGTTCAAAATGGATTTGATTTTGGATATAAATTCGTGGCTGTATCCAATGGAACTAGGTAAGTTTTTTAGTTATTTATTTCTATAAATATATTTTGATTTTTTTTAATATTTAAGGTTATAGGATTTATAACTTTTAATAGAGGATGTCTAATTTTCCTTATAACTGTACGTCATCATCATCATCATCATCATTTTCAGCTTATTCAACCATTTCCAATTATGGTGTAGCCTCCCTCACATATTTAGGTACCCTCTTTATAGTTGGGTCCATTGTTGTCTATTGTTGACTATGCGGGCCCAAGTTATCTCTGCTAATTTCCTAGTATCATGGTCCCATCTCAGGTTCGGTCTTCTACGTCTCTTAATTCCTCGTGGGTACCATCTGTGGTACCATACTGTAATTTTTGTGGTCCATCTATTGTCCGTTCTTCTTGCCAGGTGTCCTGATGCCCATTGCGATTCGAGGAATTTGACTCTGTGGATGACATCTATTACCTGGGTCTTTTGTCGTAGCCCACTCTATTCTTTTACGGTCTCTCTTGGTTATTCCCAGCATATTTCGCTCCATTGAGCGTTGTGAGACCTGCAGTTTTCTTATCATTAAGCAAGTCATTAACTCCTACAAAAATAGGAGTTGTTGATATAGTATACACACACATTAGTCGAACGTTTTCTTCTTTGAATGGAGTGGCTTGTAGATTTGGATATGATTGAGTTTCTTCCATAAGTACTCCATGCTAACTTAATTCTTCTCTTTAATTTCTGGTAGTAGAGATCCCGAGCTGTGTATTAGTTGTCCTAAATATATACATATATTCTTCTACTATTTCCACTGTTGTGTTATTTATTAGAATGTCTTTTCTTTCCACTAGTTCGTTGTGCATTACTTTAGGTTTTGCAAAATTCATTTTGAGACCCACTTTATTGCTGGCTTTATTTAGTTCATTTATTTGTGCTTGTAGTTGTGTTCTTCAGGACTATTGGCAATTAAGACTGTCATCAGCGAATCTTATAGACGGTTTAGATAGTCTCCATCTATTTTTAATTCTTTGTTGGTTCAGTCCAGTTGACGGAAGGTTTCTTCTAGTGTTTCTGTAAACAGTTTTGGGGATATCGCGTCTCCCTGTCGTACTCCTTTGCCAGTTGGGAGCTCTGGGCTTGTTTTATAAATATACCGTTCCTCTTGCTTTGGCTTCTTTGTATATTTTGGCGAGAGTTTCTATATAATGCTTCTGTTATTGCCTTAGGATATATCGAGCCTTCTCAAAGTCTATAAAGGCTATCGCTAGTGGAAGTTCGTACATAAAGTACTTAAATGTGCGTATCGTAATGCATATCCAAACGAAACTTAGGTGGCACAACTGTGAATTTTTTTAAGCGTTGTACTCTATACATATACGTCTACTTTTTTACTATGACTTTTTACTGGTTAATTTCTTCGTTTTAACCTTTGAATAAGAAGACTAAGGAAGGAGCATAATGCTATCCATGTATTCATACATGGTGGGCGGAAAAAGCTCTCTAGGGTGGGGATCCTTGACAGTTCTGTTTGACGATTCATTTGACACATTTGAATTTGATTTGAAATTTGTGGATTTGTCAGTCTTTACGGAGCTTATTTTATGTTATTTATTATTTATTCTACTACTGATAGTTGTGTAAAGGTAGTAAATCTAGATGGAAATTGTGGCAGAACTTAAATTAACAGTGACACTATCGCGATTTATCGAAAAAGATTCTAAAATAGTTGGTTGTGTAGCGTGCGGTAGATCTCGGCAAAAATTGAGTGAAATAATGGAACAACTTTTCGCTAGTAAGTGACTATATAATATACATACATACGTGTAGTAAACCGATCATTTATGAAATTCACTTAAATTAACTAAATTATATATTTTTCTTGCATTTTAGCTTTTATTTATTACTTGTCAAAGATTAGATGTCAAAGAATTTAGATACGTTAATTTGACTTACCTGTTTCAGTAGCGTATCGGATGTTTGTGTTAATAAATACTTATTATAACTTATCTATTTTTATTAGAATTATATATTATTATAACAATTTTAATAACTACCAACATTTATTCACAACGTAAAATAAAATAACAAATTATTGAGTCTACCCCACGTCTACCCTACATCATAGTTTTACATTTTTTAAATAAAATTAGAACGACACTGATAAACCAGAATTTAAGTCGGCCATATTTGAGGCCCATCGCGGTGTACCTAAGATTTTTGATATGCTCCTTCCTTAGTCTTCTTATTCAAAGGTTTTAACGACCTTGGGCGTTGATGCTACTAAATACGTTGACTGATTCTATTTTGTTTCTCGTGTCATTTCTGGCATTGGATAACTCGATATTGCAAATCATTTATTGCGCAAAATAGTCAGTTGCGGTTTCTACCCATTCTTCTTCTTTTTTGCAATCTCTTCTTTTTTCAATTTTTCGCGGTTGATTATTTTATTGATCTGGTAGTTAAGTGTGAGAAGAATTTAAATTTATAATACCTATACAAGGTGAGTCTTAAATAAGTGCAAATATTTTTAGGGCTGGTATATTTCGACCCCAGGAACACGTCTATGAGGTTTTTATTCACAAAAAAAGATGTTGAAAATCGTGCATTTTCTTTTAAATTTCCCTGTATATTTTTCGAAAACTTTTTAAAACTGCCTGTTCACCGCAAATTTTCCCACGGTATAATTTCTTAATCTCTGATATTATTTTCATAGTTACGGTTTTACTCTATGGTTACGGCACTAAAAGGGATGCAATCACAGAAAAAATCCGGTGGCTCTCAAATTTTTTTCAAAAAAAAACCTAACCAAACCAAACCAAACCAAAATTAAAGTTATTTTGGACTTATCTGAAAAATGGTAAAGAGAAAATATGTTTCTTTTATCGAGATCTACGAGCCCTGAAAATATTTGCACTTATTTAAGACTCGCCCTGTATTACCTATAGCATAAGAAATAGAAACGCAGAAATATTTTTATTTAAAAAAGTATTAAAAAAATAAATTAAATTAAAAATATAAAAAAAAATAAAAAAAGGAACATTTAAATAGAGCAATCAAAAATCAGGGGCGCATATATACGGGAGGGGTAATGGGGGGTAATTACCTCTCTCAAGAAGAAACGTATTAATAAGATAAAATGTGTTATAAAATAAAATTGTTACAAAAAAGTTAATAATACAAATCAAAATAGAAAATCCAAACCAATCCAAGTAGATTTTTTTCCACAGTAACAATACCCTCCAGCAAAAATTTAATTCAAATTTAGTACTTTTTTTGAATATTTCCACTACCCCTCCCAGACTCAATCTCTAGAAACTGTTAATACTAGGGCACTAAGGAAAAAATCTATTTATACAGTATGTCCTCGGATTGTCTTTACAAATGGAAAAACTTTTTTTTCAAACGTCACAAAAGTATTATTTTTTTTGCGACGTGATGACGTGATGACAATATGAAGAGCGGACCGTACGTGCGGAGCGTCCGCGCGTATGTTTTTTCAATATAGCTCATCCGGACGGAGCATACACGACCCATGTGAAATCGTTCATATAAACTCATGGTACACAGTAAAAAATTGAGTGTTAAAATTTACACTCAAATTACACTCAAAGGTGGTTCCTATTTGTCCACACTGGTGAGTGTAATTATTATTGTTCCTAAGTATGGTGAAATATTGGTGTGATTTAACCTTTTAGGTGGGGTTAAACTAATCCAATTTAATATCTTTTTTACCCGAGCTAAAATTAAAAAAGCCAAGAAGAGAGTGTATTTTTACCAATTGTGAGTGTTTTTTGACTACGGATAAAATCTTTTAAAACCATTTTTAAATGTAAAAATCACCAAGCGTAATGGTAAATAATCAATTTTTAAGTGTAAAAATGGTTTTAACTGAGTGTTAAATATACATAGTTTGGGTGTTAAAATAATTTATCAGTATGGTAAAATACATTTATTACAGTGTAAATTTGATTTCAGTTCGTGTACTTACCTATATTTAAAATTTAAGGTGGGAAAACATAAAAGAAGAAAAAAATTAAAAATACAAAACGTTTTTATTATATAATATAATAAATAATACAAAAAATATACCTTAATTTAGGTAGATACATTAGGTAACAACGAAACAAAAAAATATTCCTTACACAAAAAACACAAAATAAATAAAAAATGTCTATACCTATGTGGCGGATTCATCTCTCCAAAAAAATGTTTTATGGGTATTTCGCCACTGCACTGCAAGAAAATCTACAAAATAAAATAGTTATTTTTTGTAAACACTTCTGCGTTAAACCTAAACGGACACTACTTGTCAGAAGTTATGTTTACTCTTATACAAATTTATAAATAAAATTTTCAATTTTTTTTAAATAGTTTTTTTCTTTTTCCTTTGTATTTTTTTTGCTTCCGACGACAAAAAAACGTTAAAGCATTTTTTTTTTGTTAGGCAAATTTGTTTAATTGTAAACATAACTTCTGACAAGCAGTGTCCGTTTAGGTTTAACGCAGAAGTGTTTACAAAAAATAACTATTTTATTTCGTAGATTTTCTTGCAGTGCAGTGGCGAAATACCCATAAAGGATTTTATTGGCCAAAATAAAATATATAATATACCTTATTTATTTGTAGGTAACAACGAAACAAAAAATATTCCTTACTCTAGGAAAATAAAAAAATATATGTATACCTTATTTTAGGTAGGTATAGTTACGTTTGGTGGCAACGAAACAAAAAATATTCCTTACTCTAGGGAGCTATTTATAAGTAAACGCAAAATAAAAAATAATATATATGTACCTTATTTGAGGTATGAAATTGTCGCCTCGTATATTTGTATGATATTTGCAGCCTTATTTTCAAACTTCGCCACAAAGTTATTGGCATTAGCAGGATATAGCAAGCTGACATCTTGTTCAATCTAAAATTATAAAAAAATCGGTTTTAAAGTTCACTAAATTAAAATGACGTGACATACAAGTCCTAGCGTGTCCAAAAATCTGGGATAATCGACAAATGAAAAGTCATTAATTTTTCTACA